TGAAGTCCTTACTAATCCCACCGAACAAAATGTCAATCTTATTTTTACCTTTTTAAAAATTATACGTATCCATAACTTAATTTGAAATACAGTATATTTTGCTTTGCTGCCTCTATGCTTAAGTGCACAGTTAAGATACCCACCCCAAAATGCGCATCAAAAGCATTATTTTTAACATTTATAAGGAAACTGCTCCGATAGATGCATTCAACATACCTGCACATTGGCGATACCTGCCTTAAAAATTGTGCGACAAGTATCAATTATCAATGAAAGTATTACGTTTACCTGCACTGACCCTACAATTACCTAATTTTACAACCTTTTATTTATTTTGCTCATCTCGCAGAACAACGAAAATGGCTATCAATTTATGTAGTTATATAGATAATTAGATAACATTCGCTAAAAATTTCGCTTGCAGTAATTTCTACATGGTAAGTGCCCCGCCAATGTTTGGTTTCAAAGGGATTCGGATACCTTCCTCATTGAAGTAGTAAAGAAAATTCGCTTAAGTGCCTTTTTCGGTTACGTGCACAAGTTTTTCGTGCAAAGAAGGATGTGCAGCTAAGCAAAACATACTGTACCAAATATTTTTCTTTGTTTTAACGGTAGCCGAAAGCCCTGGCAGCTAGTGCTCTAAAGACTTATTAATTGTAATTTTAATTATAATTAATAAATAATAATAATAATAATGATTTTCGAAAACTAAAAAATACTCCAAATGTTAGTCACAGTTAAAAGCGATGCGAGCGCCATATTTCATTTAAAACCGTGGAACCGTTTCTGAGTGAAGAGAGGTATCGCATAGTTTAGGTTTTTAATTTTATCAACTTTCAAATCATAATATACCGATGAAAAACATGTTCATTTAAGAATAGAACTTTATCACACATCTAAAGGCCTTTAATTTGACATTTCATTTTCGAAATAACAGTGAAAATCGAATGACTTTTACAAAAAATGCCTTCTCGTATAATATACATACATTTATACTTAGTTAGATCGATATGACTTTCGAAAAGGTGGCCAGCCTAGTCAAAGACATTTTCAAACCAAAGCTTTCATAAATCTCTTTCGATGGAAAACCCATATTTAAATATTTCATAAAACTTGCATATGAATTAAATAAATTTGATTTTTCAAACAGGTGGAAATTCTTTTCAAAAGAACTTTCAAATAAAAATTTTCTTTTCATTTGCTTTCATTTGTCGCACTCTCATTTGTCGTTTCCTTCGTTTGACACCCATATTTTGTATAACCTGTGTAATAGTTAACTAAGTCCGACTTTTCAAATAGATAGCAACCCTGTTCAAAATATTTTTAAACTAAAAACTTCCTAAATTCTTTCGTGTGACACCCATATTGCAATTGCAATAACTTAACTTAGCAATTGCTTAACTTAGGATGAATTAGATTTTTTTAACATCTGGCAACCCCGTTAAATATAATTCAGAAACAAAGCTTTTTCAAACCCCCTTTGAGTGATGCCCATATTTTAATAATTTGTGTAACTTATTAAAAAATTTGAATTTAACTTATTAAACAGGTGGCAACCCTCTTCCAAAACCTAAAAATAGTCTTAGTGTTCAAACTAAAGATTTCTTAACACTATTTTGTTTGATACCCATAATTATTATTATATTTCAAATAATTTGTGTAAGTATAAATTAACCAATTTCGACCTTTCAAGCAGGTGGTAACCCGCTTCGAAATA